TCGAACCCAGAAGTTCGATTGCCTGCCGCCGAACCAGCGCGTAAGTATAGACAAGCCCAAAGGCAGAGGAGGGGCTGGAGCGTTTCAGCTTGGAGCTGGCTGGGGAAATGGAGGGGAGCCCAGACAGACTTCCTGGCCTCCCCAGGCCCACCAAGATTAGGGTGACCAGATGTCCCGATTTTATAGGGACAATCCTGATTTTTGGGTCTTTTTCTTATAATAGGCTCCTATTACCCCCCACCTCCTGTCCCGGTTTTTCACATTTGCTGTCTGGTCACCCTACCCAAGATGGACCTGACTGAGGGGGTCCTGTTGTCTGTACCCGCAAGACCTGTCTTGGACCGTGTTCCTGTCATCTAAATAAGCCTTCTGTTTTAGTAGCTGGTTGAGAGTCCCGGTGAATCGCAGGAAGTCAGGGCTTCAGGGTCTTGTCTCCTGCAAACTCCATGACAACCCATCCTCCACGAATTTATCTAGTTCGTTTTTTAACCCTGTTCTCGTCTTGGCCTTCACAACATCCAGTGGCGAGGAGTTCCCCAGGTGGACTGTGTGTTGTGTGAAGAAATACTTCCCTTTGTTTGTTTTCAACCTGCTGATTTCATCTGGTGACCCCTAGTTCTTGTCTTATAAGTAATAAATAACACTTCCTTATTTTCTCCACACCTGTCACGATTTTATCGACCGCTGTCATATCCCTCCTTAGCCGTCCCTTTTCCAAGCTGAAAAATCCCAGTCTTGTTAATCTCTCCTCACACCCAGACCCCGAATCATGGTTGTTGCCCTTTTCCAATCCCAATCGATCTTTTTGGAGACAGGGCGGCCACATCTGCACACGGCATTCAAGACGTGGGCGTCCCATGGATTGATGGAGAAGCGATATGACGAACCAATTAAGGAGCCGGACAGTACAAGAGGCATCTCTCCGGGGTGGAGAATTTGCAGGGGTTGCCCTGCGTGGGGGGCTAGGAGAGCGCTCAGCAAGGAGCCGAGTGTGACTTTGCTCGCAGAGGGCTGGGAGCGAATGAGCTGGGTGTGGTCTGTTCCTGCCGCAAGAGGCAGAGCTCTGTACACAAGTACCGCCCCCATCCCGCGCCAATCCCAACAAACTCCCGCTCTGTCAGAGCGACTTGAGCCCAGGGGCACTTTGCCGCAGAGGGGAAACTGAGGCACGGTGTGTTTAAAAACACAGAGCTGCCCTACTGGCTCAAACCAACAGTCCGTCTAACCCTGGATCCTCTCCCAGAGCTTCAGGGGCAGCGTACAGACCCCAGCAACTGGAGCGATTCCCTCCTATCCCTTGGCTAACAGCTACTAAGGTCTCCCAGCTCTGGGCAGGTAGTGGGGTCTAGTGGTGAGAGCAGGGGGGGCTGGGAGCCAGGACTCCTGGGTTCTCTCCCCAGCTCTCAGAGGGGAGTGGGGACTGGTAGGTTAGAGCAGGGGGG